CCCCCCGCTCCCCCCCCAGCAGCAGCAGCAGCAGCAGGAGCAGCAGCAGCAGGAGCAGCAGCCGCGGGCGCCTCCCCGGCACCCCCGCCGCGCGCCGCAGCAGGAGCCGTCCTCGCCTCCGCGTCGGCGTCGGCCGTTTCGAGCGGGCTGGTGCTGACCAGCCTAGCGGCACCGAGCAGCAGCAGCAGCAGCAGCAGCAGCAGCAGCAGCGGGAGCAGCAGCAGCTACGGGGGCTACTGGCGGTGCGGGAGCCGGCAGCAGAAGATGTGGGGTTTCAAGCGCAAGTACGTGGACCGCGTGGACTGCAGCGCGGACTGGGTGTCAGTGGCCCTGGACGCCGTGGGGGCGCTGCTGGAGCTGCCCGAGGCCGCCTGGTTTTCGCCCGACCCCGAAACCACTGCAGAGGGCTACAGGCAGTTCATTGCAGAGCCCATGTGGCTGCGCAAAGTGCAGGCGCGGCTGGCCGCGGGGGCCTACGCGCTGCCGTACCACTTCAAACAAGACGTGGCTCTGATTTTCCGCAACGCCCGCCTCTTCAACGCCCCCCAAGACAAGGCCTACCGCGACTGCTGCCTGCTCGAACAGAAGTTCAACATGCTCTGGGCGCCCATCAACAACGCCTTTCAGAGGGCCGCCAGGCACAAGCGCCTCCAGCAGATGCAGCAGCAGCAGCAGCAGGGGGGGCAGCAGCAGCAGCAGGTGCCGCAGCAGCAGCAGCAGGTGGCACAGCAGCAGATGGGGCAGCAGCAGCAGATGGTGGGACAGCAGCAGCAGCAGATGGGGCAGCAGCTGCAGCAGATGGGGCAGCAGCAGCAAATGCAGCAGCAGCAGTTGCAGCAGCAACTGGAGCAGCAACAAGTGCACGACGCGCAACATCAGCAGCAGATGCAGCAGCAGCAGCAGCGAGTCCAGGAAGTCCAGCAACAGCAGCAAATGCAACAGATGCAGCAACCGCTTGAGGTCAAAGTGCAGCAGCCGCAGCAGCAGCTGCAGCAACACGCGGAAGTGCAGCAGCAGCTCGATAGTAATCTACAATGCGAAGGAACAGTAGTACCAGCAGCAGCAGCAGTTGGGGCAGAAGTAATCACAACAGCAAATGTTCTCGCGCCAGCCACGCAGACAAATGCGATGCCAGACGTGCAGCAACATGAGCAGCAGCAGCAGCAGCTGCCGCAGCAGTTCAACGGCTCAGCTGAGCTGGTAGGCAGTGGTGTTTCGGATGCATTCGTTCCGCAGCAGCAACAGCAACAGCAGCAGCAGCACGAGGAGCAGTCGCAGGTGCAACAAATGAAGCAGCAGCAGCAGGAGCAAATCGAGCAGCAGCAACAAACTGGCACTGCGGAATCGTGACTACTTTCTGTGTCGACTCCCCAGGTGTATGTACACCTGAACTAGAACCTCCTTATCAAGGAACTAAGACTCAGTAGATTTAAAACTATTTTAGAAATTAAGGTTTAGCGTTAAAAGTTCTAGAGACTACTGTCGTCTGGCTCTTCGCAAGGCGCCTGCGGGGCCCCTGCTGCTGCTGGCAGCAGCAGCTCAAAGCCCGAGGTGTACAGACACCACTGCTGCTGCAGCAGCAGCTGCAGCGGCAGATCATACCAAAGGTCCCTCAGCTCCTCGGGGCCTTCCAGCAGGTCATCTTCTATGCTTCTGCAGCGCAGCAGAAGCGCAAGCACACAGCCGCACACAAGCTGCTGCTGCTTCTAGTGGCGTTGCTGCTGCTGCTGCTTCTAGTGGCGTTGCTGCTGCTGCTGCAGGTGCTGCTCCTCTGACTACAGGCTGCCGCTGTTTCCAGAGATCCCTAACGCTGCTACTATTTCTATGCCGTGCTGAAGGCTAAGAGCAGCAGCAGCAACAACAACAGCAGCAGCAGCAGCAGCAGGGGTACAGAAGCTGCAGTAGCGTCAGCAGCAAAACATAATACTGTAGTGAAGCAGCAGCTACCTGCGGATCTCTTCGTCCTCTGTGTCAACTTTGTGAGTTGGCTCTGCTGCTGCTCTCTCGTTCAGCCGGCGTGCTGCTGCGGCAAGGCTGTTGCTGCTGATCTTGCTGCTGCTGCTGCTGCTGCTCAAAAAACCTTTCCGAGGCTCCGACACATCCTGAGCAAAAGTAAACAACAGGGAAATGCGAGTCTGCAGCAGGGGCCTGTTGTTGAGATAGCAGCAGCAGTAGCAGCAGCAGCAGCAGCAGCAGCCGTAGCAGCAACGGCAAGGGCTGCTGCTGCTGCTGTAGCGGCAGCTGCTCTTCTAGCACAAAAGCCGTGCTTTGTACAATCTACAAGCCTTGAACACGCCACAGGAAAAAAACGCAGCAGCAACAGCAGCAGCAAGAGCAGCAGCAACAACTGACCGCTTCGTAAGAGTGGGCCTCCTTGTCTTGCTGCTGCTGCTGCTCCTGCTGCTGCTGCTGCTGCGGGTATTGATACTTGCTTGCAAGCACGCTGAGAAAGGGCCGGAATGTGGCTGCTGAGGAGTTGACCATAGACATTTCACTAGGGGCCAGGCTGCTGCTGCTGCGGCTGCTGCTTCTGCTGCCGCTGCTGCTGCTGCCTGGCTTGCTGCGGCTGCCGTGAGGGGGGGTGGCGGTGCCTTCGAAAGATAGACTTTGAGACAACTGGGATTCCAAGCTCCTGCTTCGATCTTCTGCTGTTGCTGCTGCTGCTGTTTCTGCTGCTGCTGCTGCTGCTGTTTCTGCTGCTGCTGCTGCTGCAGCAGAGTCCTGGGGGTCCCCTGCAGCCGTTTGCTGCAGATGCTCCCGTGCGGCCGCCTCTGCAGCTGCACCTGCAGCAGCAGCAGCCCCTGCTGTTTCTGCTGCAGCGTCTCCACCCTGCTGCTGCTGCTGCTCCTCCTCAAAAATGGGAGGAGCAAACTGCTGCTGAAGGCTCCCTGTATGCACATGCTCATTTTTCAGGTCGCCTTCCTCCTGCTGCTGCTGAACCTGCTGCTGCTGCTGCTGCTGCTGCTGGTTTGCTGCTGCTGCTGAGTCTTCAGCCAAAAAGACCCAGCGGTACAAAGTGAAGTCCGGCAGATTCAGCAGCGTCGCCACTTCGACAACTTTGAGGCCTGCGGAGAGGAGGGCCAGGGGCGTTCTCTGGGGGCTGCCTGTGTCTCCTGCTGCTGCTGCTGCTGCTGCTGCTGCTGCTGGCAGCGGGGCCTGCGGGGGGCCCCCTAGGGCCCCCGAAAACACCCGAATCAACTCCGTCAAAACTATGGGCCACACGGGAGTCCGCGAGGCCGGCGGCAGCCGCAGCAGCAGCACCCGCACGCAGACGAAGACCTGCAGCAGCGCAGCAGCAGCAGCAACGCTAGCAGCAAAGTTAGCACCGTCAGCAGCAGCACCATCAGCAGCACCATCAGCAGCAGCAGCAGCAGCAGCAGCAGCAGCAGCAGCAGCAGACCTGAATGGTGATTTCGACAGAGACTGCAGCAGGGTAGGAGGGCTTGAGGGCCTCAGTGAGTCTCTCCAGCAGCAAAGCTACATGGGCAGTAAAGAAACCCTCGGGAGCTGCCAGCAGCAAAAAGGCCAGCCGCTTCATGTGGGCCACTCGCCCAGAGGCTTCCCGCTCCCGAGACACAAACACCTGCGCCCAAACCCTAGACCCTAAACCCTAAACCCTAAACCCTAAACCCTAAACCCTGAACCCTACAGGCTGAACCCTGGCAGGCCACTCGCTCAGAGCCAAAAGCCCGAACAGAACCACACGCAAACTACTGCTGCTAGGCGGAAGGCTTAGGGTTTGGAGCTTAAGGTGTAGCGTTTAGTGTTTAGGGTTTAGGGTTTGGAGCGCAGGGCCTAGGGTTTGAGAAGAAGGCCTGCTACTTAGGGTTTTCAAAAGGGCTCTTAGGGTCTAGGGTTTGCAGAAGGGGGCCGCGGGCGCCCCACCCGCGGCCCAGCAACAAGGATCTAGGGTTTAGGGTTTAGGGTTTAGGGTTTAGGGACCCCGGCGTTTGGGGGGGGCATGATGGCATCCAACTTTGCAGTTTCTGTTGCCAGAGCTGCGCCCAAAGCAGCACCCAAAGCCCTGAGGGTTCTGCGGTCGCTCTGCAGCACTTGCTGCCGCTGCAGCTCCTCCAGCAGCAGCCGCCGCAGCGGCGCTGCTGCTCCTGGAAACAGCCGCAGTGGCAGCCACTCAAAGAGCGACAGCAGCAAATAGCGGGAGATGAAACCCTGCGCGCAGCAGCAGCAGCAGCAGCAGCAGCAACAGCAGCAACAGCGGCGCCTACACTCGACTGTGGCACCCAGAGCCACAAGCAGCAGCAGCAGCAGCAACAGCAGCACGAGCGGCGCGGCCACTCAGCTTGACCCGCAGGGCCAAAATCAGCAGCAGCAGCAGCAGCAGCAGCAGCAGCAACAGGAGCAGCAGCAGCCCACCTGCGGGGCGGCGCTGCTCAGGGCCTGGGCGAGACTGCCCTGCAGCTCATCTGTTAGGGTTTGAAGAAAAAGAGCAGACAAAGGACTTCTTCTGTTGAGCTGCTTCAGCTGGAGACAAACCCACGCGCCAAACCCTAAACGCTAAACCCTAAACCCTAAACCCTTAGGGCTCAACTGTAGAACTTACAGAGAACTTGTGAAAAGTTAAGCCACCAACTGGACCCACACCTCAACCCCTACCCCCAAACCCTAAACCCTAAACCCTAAACCCTAAACCCTAGACGCACATCTGCACACTGCATGAGCAGCGCAGCAAGGCCAAAAACAGCAGCAACTTCTTCAGGGTCTGTGGGAGAAGCCACAGCAGCCGAAAGCTTCCGTTTGGCAATTTCTTTATTTGCTTCTGCAATGCAGCACGGGGCCCGCAGGGAGGGTGGCTGCAGCTGCAGCACCAGACGCCGCCGCAGCTCCTGCAGCAGCGCGGCCTCCCCGTTGCTGCTGCTGCTGCTGCTGCTGGCAATGCCTTCAGCCGGTGCCACGGCTGCTGCTGCTGCTGCTGCTGTTGGTGCGGCGGGTGGCTGCGCTGCTGCTGCGCTGTGCGCTGCGAAGTCCTCCCTGGCGTCTCCCGTCGCCGCAGCAGCAGCAGGCGCAGCAGCAGCAGCAGCAGGAGCAGCAGCAACTGCGAGAGCCTGGTTCAGCAAATCCACGGCAGGTGGCAGCGGCGGAGTTACATCAAAAGCATTTGGATTTGCTGCTGCTCCCACTCTGTGGGAGAAGCAGCGGGAGCCGATGAAGCAGCAAAGTCGAAACAGCTCCTGCATCTCGCGCCTCACCTGGCAGTCGCATGCGCAACAAAACCCTAAACCCTAAACCCTAAACCCTAAACCCCAGGCTTCGCACGGGCCTTCTCCAATGCTCAGCAGCTCTTAATTTGCGTTCCCGTGCGCCGCAGCTGCGGGCGCACGCGGCGTGAAAACCAGCAGCTGCAGCAGCAACAGCAGCACCAACAGCAGCAGCAACAGCAGCAGCAGCAGCACCAACAGCAGCAGCAACAGCAGCAGCATACTCTTTTGGAAGCAAGCAAGTGTTCCTTGGCAGGCTTAGTTCTGTCCAAAGCAGCAATAATTGCAAAAGTCCAAAGAAGAGAAAGTGGCTGTCGAGGAGAAGACACAGAAAGGGAAACTACGCGGCACAGCAGCCGCCACACGGACTCCGTGTCGGTCTCGCCGCTGCTGCTGCTGCTGCTGCTGCTGCTGGGGGCGGCGGGGGGGGCTGCTGCCTCGGCCGCTGCGGCTGAGGCAGCAGCAGCAGCAGCGAGCGGCTGCTGCTGCTGCTGCTGCAGCCCGCAGGAGGAGCTGCAGAGACTTCTAAATTGCAAGAAAGGGGGGGGGTAAGCAGCAGCTACAAGAGTGTAAATGAGGTGCAGCATAATGCTTTCGCGGGGCCTCGGGGCTTCCGCCAGGCCCGCCTGCTGCAGCAGCTTCTCCACGCTGTCCCTCCCTGCTGCTGCTGCTGCTGCTGCTGCGGCAGCAGCGGCCGCCGCCGCCGGCGCCGGAGCCGCAGCCTCCGTCCCCGGCGCTGCTGCTGCTGCTTCTGGCCCTGACATGCCGCCAGGCCCTCCTGCTGCTGCTGCTGCTGCTGCTGCTGCTGCTTCGTCAGCAACAGCTAGCGGCGACAAGTGCATGAGGCAGGAAGCCGGAGAAATAGGCGCCGATGAAGAACCCCCAAACCCTAAACCCTTTGCTGCGTCTTGCAGCAGGCCCACCAGGGGCGGCAACAGGGTCCTGCAGCACAAACCCTAAACCCTAAACACCAAACCCTAAACCCTAAACCCTAAACGCTGCTGAATCGCGAGACGCTGCAGCAGGAGCTGCGCTGCAGACCAACAGACGTGCCCCACAGCCAGCAGGCAGCAGCAAACGGCCTCACTTATGACCGAGGGTTTAGGGTTTAGGGTTTAGGGTTAGGGCTTTAGGGTTTAGGGCAAAAGCTGTACTGAAGCCTTCCGCCTCGCATCAGCCGCAGCAGCAGCAGCAAACTCCGCAAGTTTGCTGCATCGTTGCAGAGGCCTCCGCTCCAGATGGAGACACAGCTCGCAGCAAATCTCCGGGGGAAGCTGCAGCAAACTCAGCCACGCGTGTAAAGGTTGGGCCTTAGGGTTAGGGTTTAGGGTTTAGGGTTTGGGGCATAGGGTTTAGGGTTTGGGCTAACCTGACAAACAGACGGTCAAGAATTTGCCTCAAGAGCGACAGCGCAGCTTCATCTGCATGCGTCAGGTGGGCCCCTTGGCAGTCGGAGAGCTTCTGCTGCTGCTGCTGGTTGCTGCTGCAGTCAGCAGCAGCAGCAGCAGCTGCAGCAGCAACAGCTGCTGGGGCTTCCTCGCTCACCGCAGGCACTCCGCCCTCGGCGCCTTGATGAAGCCCACCCGAAACAGACCAGGCGACAGCAGCAGCAGCATCACCGTTGCTGCTGCTGCTGCTGCCGGAACCCTGCTGCTGCAGCTGCTGCTGCAGCGGAGGCAGCACGAGGTTTGCTGCTGCCACGCAGGCCGAGACCGTCATGTGCAGCGCAGCAGCAATGGCCGGCAGCCGCTGCTGCAGCTTCTGCTGCAGCGCCTCCTCGTCGCTGACAGCAGTGCTGTGCCACGAGAAGAGGTCCAGGAAAGGCGTCAAGCCGCCTGCACACGCAACCCTAAACCCAAAACCCTAACCCTAAACCCTAAACCCTAAACCCTAAACCCCAAACCCTAAACCCTAAACCCTCAAGCTGCTGGCTCTTACCACTCTCTGCTTGCGCCTCCTTGGCTGCGTCGCCTTTGGCAACAGAGTCGAGGCAGAAGTTCAAGACGCCTAAGATGCCCCTCAGGTACGGCAGCAGCATCCGGGAACTCATGCTGCTGCTGCTGCTGCTGCTGCTGCTGCTGGGACCTCTGCTGCAACTGCAGGCGGGCGCATTTGCGTTGCGGCCCACAGCAGCGCGCAGCAGCAGGCGACAGAAGAAATCCAACAAAACTACCGACACGGGCTGCAGCTGTGCAGCAGGCAGGTGTCTGTACACCCAAGCAGCAGCAGCAGCAGCAGCAGCAGCAGCAGCAGCAGCAGCAGTGCAATCAGCGAAGCTGCTCAGGGGGCCGCAGCGAAGTTGCTTCTGCCTAAAGAAGCTTTGAAAGAAAGAATCTGTGGCTGAGGGCTTACTGGAGCAGAAAGAGGGAAAGTTGAGTTGCTTCCTCGACTGCTGCGTCTCGTGCTGCGGCTGCTGCTGCTGCTGCTGCTGCTGCTTCTGCTCCTGCTGCAGTGTCTTCCACTCGCATCGCCAGCAGCAAACCCCGCAGCAAACCCCCGAAGTCTTGGCTAAGAGGCGTCAGACGTCCCAGCTGTAGCAGAAGTAAGCAGCAGAGCTAACCCTAAACCCTACACCCTAAACCCTAAACCCTAAACCCTAAGCCCTACGCCGCACGGCCTCATGCACCGCGGGCAACACCAACACACCCTTTAAAGAAGCAGCAGCAGAGAACGCAGCGGCAGCGCTTGCTGCTGCTGTAGGCGCATGCAGCAGCAGCAGCTGCGGCAGCAGCATCTGCTGCAGCAGCAGCAATATTTCGATTTGCCCTCAAACTGCATGCAGCCCCGAGACTATGCTCTTAACCCTAGGCAGTCACTTATAGCAGCAGCAAAGCTTGCATACTTTGGCTTTCATCTGCTGCACTCCCAAGGCAAACAGAGGGAACTGCTGCTGCTGCTGCTGCTGCTGCTGAGTTGCTGCGCCTTCAGCAGCTTCTGCCACTGTGCTTGATGCTGCAGGTGCCGACGCTGCAGCCGACTCGGCGGACGCAGCAGCAGCTGCTGCTGCAACAACAGCAGCAGCTGCTGCTGCTGCCGACGGCGAGGGGCGGTGCTGCGGCAGCTGCTGGCGCAGCAGCTGCTGCAGCTCCGTGCTGCTGCTGCTGAGGAGGCACTTGCTGGCCGGGGAGATGCTTGTGGCTGCTTGGCTCGAGTGTACAATCACAACGCGCAGCAGCTGCAGCAGCTGCGACTGCAGCAGCAGCAGCAGCAACAGAAGCAGCAGCAGCAGCAAATGAGCTACAGGCTCGAGCCGGGATCTCAAGACGACAGCCAGAAGGGCCTACGCGCCTCCTCCCAGAATCCTCGGGCCAAACCCCAAACCCTAAACCCTGAACCCTAAACCCTAAACCCTAAACCCTAGACTCTAAACCCTACACCCTGAGCTCTAAGCCATAAACCCCCCTAAACCCTAAACCTAAACCTTGAGGCCTGAACGCTAAACCCTGAACCCTAAACCCTAAACCCCAAGCCCTAAACCCTAAACCCTAAACCCTAAACCCTAAGCCCTAAACCGTAAACCCTAGACCCTGAACCCTAAACCCTAAACCCTAAACCCTAAACCCCAGGCCCCCGGAGTTCACCTGGGCTGCGTAGTCTGCGTCTTGGACTGCAGCATGGAACCTGTCGACCAGCGCATGCGACAAGAGGCAGCAAACTTCTTTGGCTCTTGCTGCTGGCTGCAGCGCGGAGAGGAAAGAGCCCAGCAGCTCGCAGGCGGTGCCGTGGACTGCAGCAAACCTGCTGCGCGCTGCTGCTGCTGCTGCTGCTGCTGCTGCTGCTGCGTCGCTGGGCCGCTCCGCGGCGGCCTCCGCTGCTGCTGCTGCTGCTGCTGAGGGCGGCATCCGGAAGGAAATGAAGCGCAGCAGAACCACGCAAAACAAATCCGCATAGTCAACGATTGAGAAGTCGCTGTAGGTCCACGCGTGCCAGTCTGCTGCTGCTGCTGCTGCCGTTGCTGTTGCTGTTGCTGCTGCTCCCGCCGCCGCTGCTGCTGCAGCCTCCGAGTCTGCAGCAGAACTGCCTGCGCCGCACAGCCGCACTCAGCAGCAGCCAGCCACACCCTCAAGCTGTGCCCGGGCCTCGTGCTGCAGCTGGCAACTGGTTTGCTGCTGCCTAGCTGCATGCACACTTTGCTGCTGATGGGGCTTGTGAACACTTTGCTGCAGCTGCAGAGCTAAAACCCACCTCGGGGGCCCCGGGCCCCACTTGCTGCTGCCCACAGCTGCGCCTGCATCGCATTTGCTTCTAGAAGGTCTTCTTCGACATAAAAGTCCTGCATGCGCTCCAGCAGCAGGGGCCCCTCGAACTGCAGCAGCAGCTGCAGCAGCTCCAGCCCGCGGTGCGCAGCAGCAGTCGCTTCTGCTGCTGCAGCAGAAGCTGCCTCCTCCTCCATCCGGTGCTGCAGCTGCGACAGCAGCTGCACCTGCAGCTGCTGCTCTGTTAGCGCCGGCTGCTGCAGGCGTGGCTGCTCCTGCCGCCCCTTCAACGCCCCATGCTGCTGCTGCTGCTGCTGCTGCTGCAGCTGCTGCAGCTGCACGGGAGGCGGGGCACTCAGGATGCAGTCAAATACGGGGCGCAGCAGCTGCGGCGCCGTGTCTAGGCCCAGACGCACGAACACCCGCGCTGCATACCTGCAGCAGCAGCAGCAGCAGCAGCAGCAGCACGAAAACAATAACAGGGCTGAAAGATGAGCAACAGCATCAGAACCAGAAAAAAAGCCGAAGCAGAATGTAGAAGCACCAGCAGCAGCAGCAGCAGCAGCAGCAGCAAGCCCACCGGATATCAGGAAACGCGTCGCCGAGAGAAGCAAGGAGGTGCAGCACAGCATTCGGCAGCAGCAAACCCAAAGGCCTGTAGACCTGCAGCCGCGCGTGCCGCCAGAAGGCGCTGAACCTCCATACACTCTCTGCCTTGCTGCTGCTGCTGCTGCTGCTGCTGCTGTTGCTGCTGCTGCCTTGAAGGCCCGCCAGAATCACCGATTCGACTACAGCCTGCAGAAAGCACAAGTCAGCAGCAGCCACTGCCCACTTTTGCTGCTGCACTTACTGTTGCTGCTGCTGTTGCTCAGATCAACAGCAAGCCAACTGCAGCACCAACTGCAGCAGCAGCAGCAACATGCGACAGCACGCACGCACCGGTCTTTCAGGAAGACACGCATCGTTAAGCTGCAGCAGAAGATCCACAATGAGCCCTTCTGCTTTGCTGCTGCTGCTGCTGTTGCTGCTGCTGCCTAAGCAGTCCCACAGCGTAGCCGCCACGCGCTGCAGCGCCAACAAAAGCAGCAGCAACACAGAGCTTGACGCAGCAGCAGTTACTGCAGCAGCAGCTAGAGCAGCAGCAGCTACGGCAACAACAGCAGCAGCAGCAGCTGCGAAATGGCCGCAGCAAATAATGTGTCAGGGTGTCGGGTGTACAGGCAGCTGCAACAGACCATACACTCGTCGGTTTCGCAAATCAAGTGCCTCCTGCTGCAGGTGCTGCTGCTGCTGCTGCTGCTGCTGCTGCTCTTCAAGATTGAAATAAATGTCTGTGCTGCTCTGCAGCAAACGGATAGCCTCGGAGACGTCGCACAGTCCAGAAGCGCCAGCAGCCACGGCGGAAGACCACTGCTGCTGCTGCTGCTGCTGCTGCTGCTGCTGCTGCTGCTGCTGATCTCCTCCTCGATGAAACAGTGGAGCTCTACAAGTGGAGGCTGTGCCGCCACCGAAACACACACAGCATGTTCTAGCCTTTAACGAAAGCCCTAAACCCTAAACCCCAAACCCTAAACCCTAAACCCTAAACCCAGCAAAAGCCTCTTTCCTCAAGACACGGCCAGTCAGTGACAGCAACGCCCGCCAAGCCAGCTGTGCCTACGACAGCAGCAACAGCACTGGCAGCAACAGCAGCACGAGCAGCAGCAACAGCAGTAGAAGCAGCAGCAAAAGCGCACCAGCATTGAGAAAAGAGTGTCTAGTGCTGGTGTTGTTGGATCCTCTGAAGCCGATAATTCCACAAGAAGGCCTTCCGCATGTGCCAAAAAGCTGCTGATTGCATGCAGCAGCTGCTGCAGCTGCTGCAGCAGCTGCTGCAGCGATGGCTGCACTGCATCGCTGCACCCGGCAAGCTCTGGGGACACCACTGCTGCAGCAGCAGCAGCCGCAGCAGCTGCTGCTGCGTCTCCGCCGTCCGCAGCCTCGGAGCTTGCTGCTGCAGCAGCTGGCGCTGCAGTCGAAGCGCCGGCTGCTGCAGCTACGCTCCGCTGCTCCTCCTGGAAAGATGCGGCAGAAGCAGCACTAATGGATGGCGCTGCTGCTGCTGCTGCTGCAGCAGCAGGCGAAGGCTGCGGCGTAGCTGCAGCTCGCTGCAGCAGCAGCAGCAGCTCCTTGTTGTCCCTCAAAGCCCGCAGCCGGCGCAAGTCTGTTACTGTCTGCTGCAGCAGCCTCCAAACTGTTGGCAGCTGCCGCAGCGTCGGCGCAAGCCCGCGGCATCCCTCTGTTCGAGCAGCAGCAGCAGCAGCAGCAGCAGCAGCAGCAGCAGCAGGTGATATGCAGAAAGGGTTAGCGGCTAGGGGCTGCGAGTCCAAGGCTACTCATGGCAGCGCTGTTCGAATAGCAGCAGCAGCAGCAGCAGCAGCAGCAGGTATGTGGGCCCCACCAAGGACGAGGGTCAGCAGCTGGGCGAACCCGTCAAGTGTCTGTACACCGCAGATTGCAGCAGCATCTGCTGCTCCACTGGCAGCAGCAGCAGCAGCAAGAGGCGCAGCAATGCGGTCTGCAAACAGCGCAGC